AAAAATTTTAATAAAATTATTTCGGATTTATATCTGTAACTAAAAATTTTTGGATATTATAATAAAATTCGTTCCTTCTATGTACATATGTGTATGTACATATGTGTGTGTCGTTATAAAATAAAAAGAATTTCTTCGGTGAATTTTTCAATTAGTGAAAACAATTTTGGTACACTGCTAAAATAAAAATTAAATTTCTATAATTAAGTTTTACATTTGTAATTTATTTATATGTCTACATTAAATTTATATAATTAAATTTTTCTAGTATCAACTATAAGTTTTGTCGAATTAAAAATACAAATCTCATGCATTTGTGCGGCTTATGAAAGCTTGGTAAGTACTTCAAATTTTCTGTCTCTTTTGAAATTGCCAAATCTCGAGAGAGGATGAGAAATTTACGCGCTTATAAATAGGTATGTATCACATCATACATTATTCAAACGAGTGGCGATTATCATCTTGACGCTATCGCTCTGCGGTTCTTTGCTACTCTTTCTTTTACGGCCACTTTCCGTCCGCATTGAGATTTATTCCACTTTTTCCTATAAGAAGTTGCTTCTTCTTGCGGTGCTTTCGGTGATGTCACGTACAAGTAACCGATACTCTCTTATCAAAGAAGATATAAAGCGCAGTGTAACACGAGATTAGTGTTACACGAATCAGAAACATTCATGTCAGTCTTAATCATTTAAAGCGATAATTATTGTATCATTATAATTTTTTAATACGTGTTTCGTAATAAAATGCTTATAATAATTAATTATAATGATTAAGTTTTATCTATTTATTACGGATTGGTGTTAATACTTTACATAATGTTCATGTACAGTAAATATGTATTGTAAAATGTAAATTGATAATTGAAGGAAATCTGGTAAAAAATACACTCAAGTGTCAGATTGATTATATATATCTTTTTTTTTTTAAAGTTAAAACTGTGATGCAGTCATAACATGATTAAAAAATAATTATTTTGATATTAAAATTATTCGCGTGTTGTACGACTATTTTAATAAACATTTTCACAAATAATAATTTATGACAATTTTTATGGAATTAAAATGACCGTTGCACTATTTTTCTAAGAAATGTCAACTCTTTTTTCTATAATCTAAAAATTAAAACAATGATCGTTCACGTCAAGTGCCTTCACACGTTTAGTAAGTGCACGAACAGAAAATCTGTCGCTAAAAATAGATCCTTCAATTGTGTCTGATATATTTCTATCAATGCTTCGATTACACGCACGAATAGCTAGTCACTCTCGCGTGAAATCAACGTGTAACGAGTGTCCGGGACATGCAAGTTTATAAAAGACAATAAAGTTACTTCGACGACTAATTTTTTATACAATAATGATAATATTATGTCTTGTATCGGTTTGAAATATCATATTTTTTTGCATTATCAAAATATTATCTTTGGAATTCTTAATATTTAATTGTATGGTATTTACCGGGACGGAGCTTAGTGAAGACATGCAATATTTACGGACTGCGAAAAGTTTTACGCTCCGCAAAATCCTTACTTCCTACGAAACCTCGGAAATTTCGCGAGACCTTATAAAACGTCATAAACTTCAACGAAAGTCGGCGTAACCTCTTAAACTTCTATAAAAGCAGTGGGCTCTCATGAAATTTGTATGAGACTTTAAAAATATTTAATGATCTTACGAAAAGCAATCGAGATCTCTCGGGATAATCGTGACACGTTTTTCTAAACGGCTTATCTACGGAGATTATTGCTGTATCGATTCATTACTCGATAAAAGTATTTCAAAAACTTTTTTTTCATGGTAGTTTGATTGACAGCTTTATCTTTTTTATGTGAGATTAATATTTAATCCACTTTCACACGAAATAAAATTTTCTACATTAGATTTATTGATGAAAATATGTATTTATCAAATCCATAAGATAAAATATATTGCATAACTGTTTATATTTTAAATTCTTGATAAATTAAAATTATAAAAATTTAGTTTGGAAATATTTCATGTAATATATATTATATATTTTTTCTGTGTTGTTTACTTTATATTCATAAGTTAACATTTTATTAGAAAATATCTTTATCCTGATTACATATATAATCTTTAATTTATCAGAAGAAAAATTACATTATAATAAAGTATTATAATAAAATATTTTTAATAGCCAAAATATTTTTAGAACGTTTCTCTACACGGAAAAAAACAATTTTGTTGAAGTATCTAGAAATCCAAAAATTAGTTATAGATCGAAAAAAAAATTTTGATTAATAATTATATATGAATTTTAAGCACGATGAATAATACTGCATGCAGAAAGGTTTTGTATTCTAGCAATTAGTTTGAAAATCTATATAATTATTTTAATGGTTCAACAAAATTATTTTCAGATTTATATCTAATTAAATTTTTTAATGCTTCTGAATATTACGACAGCGATCAACGATATGGCTTCAATATATTATACAATATCTATATTATATATATAGATACATTATAGTACATATATATAAATTATGTATATATATAATATATATATATATAATTTAATATTTTGACATTCATATATGTACATTATGCAGAATGCGAGTTTGTCGATTACTTTGACCGTGTCGATAATTTAATCGTTTGTCAACATACCTGTGCCTGTTGAATGCGAAAGGGAGAGGAGGCGGGGTCGACGGCCTTGTTAAATGGAAATCGAAATCGACGGGCACGGCCGTCCTCGCGTTCGTGATTGTTGCGCAAGTCGAGGAATTCTTGATCGTGAATCACGATCGACGGACCGACTACGCCCACGTGCGCACCGACTGTTGTGCAAGTCAAGATGCAAATGCCTGTCACACTTACCGAGTTCCTCGTGTTCCACTGACCTTAGTCTGGTCAGAAAATAATACGAGGAAAGAAGAAAAAGGCAGACAGACAGACAGAGAGAGAGAGAGAGAGAGAGAGAGAGAGAGAGAGAGAGAGAGAGAGGGAGAGGAGGAGGAGGGAGGGAGGGGAGAGAGAGAGAGAGAGAGATTTATTGTGCGTAGACAAGCGAGTCGCGATCTACGTTTCTACGAGTCACGCAAAAGGTGCGGTATACTGAATAACTTATAAAAATGATTAAATGATAGCCATGTTATTTTGTGCTGTAACGGTAGAATAGAGAATGACTGGAAAATATTACAAACTACAAAATCAATCTACAAGATTAATCTTTTCTTTGGTTAATTTAATTTTAATGCGTTATAATTATGAGAGTAGATATATTAACAATATATAACAAATTGATGTGATGGATATAACTTTGGCCATAAGTATTAAAGCAATCTCACAAATTGATGTAAATATTCTATATATCAAACGAAAAATAAATTAAAGAACAATTTTATTAAAAAATAATATTTACACAGCAAAAACAATTTTTCTGAAATATCTAAAATTTTAACTAGATACGGATCTGAAAATAATTTTGTTGGAGGCTATCAAAATAATTATGTAAAAAATTCAAGCATGACGAGCAATATTACAAAAAATTATTATGTTCTAGCAATCAGCTTGAACGTTCAACAAAATTATTTTATTATGTGTATCTAGCTGAAGTTTTACATACTTCAGTTAAATCATTCTGTCAGTGTATTTTTATAACAATTATAGTATTTTATATTTTTGATATTTTAATAAAATACAAATATTTAATTTTCTCTTCTTTGGCTTTTATTAACGCTTTTTTTTCCAAGAAAATGCAAATTAAGGATGCTTTATATTTACGACCAAGACTCTATTATATAACCGGAAAAAGAGGAAGAATAAAATTTCATGGAAACACTCTAAATAAATGGGACAGCTGATATAGTTTACGTTGCGTTAAATTAAAGGTGATCCACGGGTAAAGTTATATTAAACTAAATTGCTATCGTATTCAGCAAGAACTAACTCATCACAACAGAGTCGTGATCACGTGCTTCATCTTTTACAAAAGAGCGCGAGGGTGTCAAAGTAAAGCTTGGCATAATACCGAAGGCCACTTCTCTTGATCCGACGTATCGCGTAACTTGGTTATGGTACAGCTAGTGCATCCCCCATTGTCCCCGCTTGGGAGCAACGCTGTTATTTCGAATCGCTCCAGCGCTAATTTCATTGTCTTTCTTCCATGGGATCACGTAGCTTTTCTAGCACCAGAGTCTTATCCTTTAGAAGACTATCGCCCTCCGCCTTTGTTTTTAATCGTCCTTTCTGCAACAGTTCTCGACATTCTGTTTGCCCCATCCCTATTTAATTAGTATTAGTTCTCACTTTACCCTCGATAATAATGCTAAAATAATGAAACAGCCGTAGGGTACATTTGCCCTATTTTTAGTAGTCGACGACATTTTCTCGCGATGTGTGTCTTTTCGTGACAACAATCCACGTCCTCTTCAATTTAATATTAACTTATTTTAATATGAATGTTTATATATTTAATTTGTCAACAAATTACGAAAAATATTAAAGTTTCAGTATTTACGCAACTGTACCTATAAGTTCTTCAAATAATCATATAATTCCTTTATTTATTATTTATTTAATTAAATCACGTTCTTTATAATATTTCGCATATATGTACATTATACCATTCCCTTATGTATTTCAAAAGTAATAAAAGATTAAACTTTTAGAACCCTTTTTAGAGAAAAGGAAAAAATCTATTTTTCTCTCAATTTAAGAGAAAATTGTTGACTAATCGAATAATATTAGAGCAAAAAGAATATATATTTAAAACATGATTAAATGTTATTTTTGTTATTTTCATTTCACATCTCTTAAAAATCATTTTTGAGATGACAATTCTGATATCGGCCCTGCAAATTTATAACAAATTTGGAATAACTCATCGAAAGTGCTATATAATTTGAAATACATTTTATTATTTTAATTAGCTAAATTAATTAAATTCAAAATAAAACAATTTTTTCTTCAAACCGATCACCAAACCTGTCTTTTCTTTAAATGTTCTCTGTAGAAGACTTTCTTTTTCACAAAAATGACACTTAAAATGTGTCACTTTTGGAAGGTATGTGATGAAAAACTCTTTGAAAAAATTTTAAGAACGACACAAATGCTATTTAACTATAAAGTTAATTAAGTTAATTTATTTTTGACGATTAAGAAAAATTTTTACTTAACTCATTTATGGTAATAACTCGAAAATCACATTTTTAAAGTTGTGTTACTTTTAAAGTAAGAGAACAATATTATTTATATTCATTAAATTAAAAAAATTATTTAATACCTCCCATTTTTTTCTAGTAGACAATTTGTTTATTAAATTAACTGATATTTATTATAAAGCTTTGTCAAGTATAGCGTTATTTCTTTTAATTATGAACTTTACACTACATTACTCAATTAGCTTGTATCGAACATTTATAAAACCATGAAGCCAACAAGAAACTACTGTGATTAATGATGAGAGAAATATAATTGTTTTCAGGTCGTTACTGGTGATCTCTGCCGCGCTATGCGCGACGTGCAGCCGTACTGACTTCTTCAGCGGGAAGGGTGAGTTTCACGAAGTTGATTTCAGCGCTAATGGACCCACGACTCTCGTGGGGATTTCGCAACCATTTGTACGTCCCTGTCCTTTCGGTTGTCTTATTCACTGACGATTCGCACTGCAATATTCTCTCTAGGGGGTTCCGTCCCGAGCGAGGTACCTCGCGCGAATATTTAGCAGCTTTTTTACTCGGCTGCGCTATTTCCGCACTCGCGGCAACGATTCGCCTTACGTGACTGGTGGTGATTTATTACTACGTTAAGTACGGAATGTATTTAGTCAAGCGGTGAATAATGATATCGGGCGATAAGGACGGTAGACAAATTGTCGTGGATATGCATGAATCTATATATGTTGCGACTAAAGTGTCATACGTAATGATTTTAATTACGTATTATAAATCACAATGTTATCGCTCGAACATATCGCTTACTTTACAAAAAAATTAAGTTTCTCAAAAAAATGGAAAAGACTGTATTTTTATTTGAAAGATATTTTTATTACATTGTAAATTATTAATCAAGTAATGTCGACAAAAAAACTGTACTTTTAACATAATTAAATGTCACTTTTGTTATGTTTGTTTCACAATATTTAAAAGATTACTCTTTTTAAGTTTCGATTTTGATAATTTTCTTAAAATTATTTTTTTTTTAGTCGCGACAATTTTGAGATAAGAGAACGATATGTTTATGTATAACATTACTTAATAATAAATATTAAATGAAAGTAATAAATTGAATATGTTATAAACGCTTTATACTTAATCCTACATTTTGAAAAGTTATTTATTATTCCAAGTTGTAATAGATGCATTTTATAGCTTTGTATACATTTCGAGCACGTGATACTTCTTTTTAGAAACAAGATAGTTAAAGAAGTAAATTGAGACAATGAATTGAACAATTTATGTTGATAAACGTAATTCTGTTGACTGTAACGATCGAGTGATTTGTTTTTAACCTTTGCAACGCCCACTATTCGTTTCCGTTTCTCTTAGTTCGCACTGAAGCGAAAGCAATCGATCCTATTCTTTTTGGAAAAAGATTCAATTGCATGAAATTACACACACACACACGCGAAATTCCTAAGCTCTTTATCAACCTGAAAATTTAATTTATTACGTCATTATACGCAATGTAAAAGACGTCAGCTGTAAATTAAATCTTTCCTCTATTATTAACATTTATAATCGCTACTTTAATATTCATAAAATTATAATGGTTAAGTATCACTCTATTATTAAAGCATTATTTTGATTTTTGAACATTATACTATTTATTATTGTTATATCCCCATCAGAGTATAACTGATTAATTTGACGTGCATAAATAGCTTTTGTATCGAGTTCGTAAAATATTTTAAAGCTATTTGAAAAATGCATGATGCAATACAGTTTTGCAACCCAACCTACATTTCACGTGAGTTTAATATATTAAATTGCTTTTTTATGCTAATGCTTTTATTGTATTTATAACGGAGACCTTATATAAAAGTTAAACTTGATAAAGGTTTTTTCCGATATCTATTTAATAACTATGCACAGAAAGAACGGTTTCGCTAAAGTATCTAGAATTTATTTATAGATGCAGATTTAAAAATAATGTTGTTGAATTATTAATATAATTATGTTGGACGTCCAAAAGCTGGTTATTAAAATGTCGAAACTTTTTGGAGCATTTTGTTCATCATTCTTGAATTTCCTACATAATTATTTTGGTAACCCAACAAAATTATTTTCAAATCTGTATATATATATAAACTTTTACATATTTCAACAAAATCGTTTCTTTTATTTGACCAATAATATATTTCATAAATTTTATCTGTCTCTAAACGTAACTGACGAACTATGTAATGCGTATACCGTTCGCATCGTCGAGATTCTTAATACTCAGAGCGGATTCTGCGCTCTCGTCACGTCTCACTCTAATCTGCCAGTTTTATAAGGATACCTCGACGATTCCTGAGGGAATCTGAGGGATTTTTCACTTCCCCTTCCTGACAAGAGAACCGCCAGTTGCTCACCTCCGCAGTAGTAAAGCCGACGTATGGTCCGACATGCCGCAATCCCGTAATCTCGCGTGGTGTTCTCGCACTCCTTAGAACTGCTCCATTTATCTATTTATTCCTATCTACTCATACATGCGACTAGTTAAAATTTTAGATAATACGAAATGTATTTCTAATTTGATTATTAAACAGTACCGAAAAAAACGTGATAAAAATAGATATAAATTATATTTGTCATTAAAAATATAGTGATCTAGATTTCATGTAATAATAACAATAATAATTCATAAATGTAGTCTCTTTTAATATAAAATTCTCATCGACGTCGCCACGAGAAACGTTAAGAAGCGTCAAATGAATCATCCGCGTCTTGGGGACGAGTTAATAAAGTAGTGTCTTTGAGCATAATTAGTCTACTGTCTTCTTTTGAAATGCGACGATTATTATTATCGTGTCTTTCATCCTCGTCTCTTTCACAAGGATCTCATAACCCGCGGCGTCGTTCCGCAAACGCAAAGAAAATTTAATCTAGTGCCGACGGTTTTGATTAAGAATAATAAAACGACAGGAACGACGTTACCACTTTGACTTGTCGTAATAAGAACGAATTAACGCAAGATTTTAAGTTTGTGTTTACTCTTGCGTGATATATTAAAAAGTTATTTATCACGTCGTGTTCCCTGCGAACGTCACTCGTGTTTTTCGTTTCTTCCCTTAGTACTTTTTCGCGCTCGTTTGAAGATCGCAACAATTACGATCTCGGCGAATTACTATCGAAGAATCGGTCCATCACGGGGGGTTCCACGCTTCGCTTATCAGAAACGGATGCAAGGGGGCTGCGAAGGGGTTGCCGGGAGTGGCGATAGTAAGGGGAGAGGGCCGGTGGCACAGGATGGAGAAAGGGACGGCCCCGGGACGAATAGCTCCCGCAGGATGCGAGATAACGCTGCTCATCCCCGCAGCCTCATTTGTATCCACCCCGTTCCGTTTCCCGCGGAAATCACTACTTTTTACATCCACCTTCTACCTCGTCAATATTTAACGGCCGCTCGTCGATCAATGCGATTGCGCGGCGATGTAGAAATGAGAATTTTTCGAGCCGCCTTCAGCCACGTTCTTATGGATCGCCCACGTATAATGTTCTCCTCGAAGAAATCTATCGCCGTCTGAATAGTTCACGAATTTCTGCATTGTACGGTTCAAAAGATTGTACGAAGCAGGATTGTCGAATGCTTTGTTGGCCGTTTACATTAGTTAAATTGTAGGAAGAATAAAAAAAGTATACGACAACTATTTGTAATAAATAAACTTTCCTGTTTGGAGATATCTTTATGCATAACATATAAGATACATAAAATTTCTGCGCTGTTTTTTAAAAATATATATATATTAATATAAAAGAAACGATACGGATATTAAATTCAATTAAGTACAATCAAAGTATTTACTTTTTATGAATCTGTTACTTTCTGCCATCTTTCAGATAGCATACGGATACCGCGGCGAAAGTTTCGCAGCGCAATTTATCGTTCACACATTAAACAATCATCATTTTTAAATCTGTTAAACCGATCTTAGTACGTTCTTTTCAACACAATATTGTTTCCATAAGTTTCACAAATTATTCTAGTTGTTTCAGTGGCGGTTTTCACCGTAATGAAAGTGGTGAAACATACAACAAAGAATATGCATTCTTTCAGCGTTCATTAAATTAAAAACATAATTAATTGTCCAACCACGAATTCTTACATTTCAAAATGTTTTCAAAATGCAAGTTGGTCAACTTTACTAATGAAAAAATAATTGGGCTCAGAAATTTAAATGCATCATTGTCATCGGTATTTAAAGTTGACCACGGAAACTTATTTATATATATCTATGTATAGTACATAGAGTGATAATAAAGTTTGGTAAATCTTGTGACAAAATAAACTTAATTAATATATAAATAATCTTTATTGTCCTACAAAGTATATGTAATAATTCCTCTAGAGACAATATGTTTCTAACAACGTTTGTACTACTTGCAAAAACTATGAAAAGTCATCTTTGAATAAGTAAAACTCAGAAATCATATAATATCATAAGAACATCATCATGACCATATTTGTTATAAGTTTATTTTTGTATATTAAATAACGTCTTATGATTATTATGATTTTATTATGACTGTGTTCTACTTGAGGTTTTAATTCAAAACGTGCATGGCAATTCTTGAATCAGCATTACCGTTTTAAATCACTTTCTTTACTCTGTTGATTTTGTCTTAACAGACTCTTTTTGTTCCCTAAACTAAAAGGGACGATTAAAGAGACTGGATTCACAAACATTTAGAACATTCCGTGTGACAACAAAACTTAAGATCGTACAAAAGATGACTTTTCACAGAGTTTCTGCAAGTTGTACAAATGTTGTAACTATAATCGTTTTAAAAAGACGCAATTTAATAAGAATCTTAAAAACATGATTTGTAAGTTATTGTTATAAATAAGTTAAGTAAACAT